TGGACCAGTATAAACCAGTATGGACCAGTATGGGAACAGTATGGACAAATATAAACCAGTATGGGACCAGTATAAACCAGTATAGACCAGCATGGGACCAGGATAAACGAGTACGGACCAGTATGGACCAGCTTGGACCAGTATAAACCAGTATGGACCAGTATGGGACCGGTATGGACCAGTAAAGACCAGTATGGGACCAGTAGGGACCAGTATGGGACCAGTGTAAACCAGTATATACCAGTATGAACCAGTATGGACCAGTACGGACCAGTACGGACCAGTACGAACCAGTACAGACCAGTACGGATCAGTATAGACCAGTACGAACCAGTATGGACCAGTATGGACCAGTATGAACCAGTATGGGCCAGTATAGACAGGTACGAACCAGTATGGACCAGTATGGACCAGTATGAACCAGTACGGACCAGTATGGGCCAGTACGGACCGGTGCCACCCCCCAGTGCCACCAGCACTGTCACAGCAGTGTCACCACCCAGTGTCCCCACAGTGCCACCCCAGTGCCACCCCCCAGTGCCACAATCAGTGTCACCCCAATGTCACCTCAGTGCCACCTCGCTGCCACCCTGCCTTTAATGGTGTCCCCACAGTGCCACCACCCCAGCGCCACCACCCAGTGTCACCCCAGTGTCACCCCAATGTCACCTCAGTGCCACCTCGCTGCCACCCTGCCTTTAATGGTGTCCCCACAGTGCCACCACCCCAGCGCCACCACCCAGTGTCACCCCAGTGTCACCCCAATGTCACCTCAGTGCCACCTCGCTGCCACCCTGCCTTTAATGGTGTCCCCACAGTGCCACCACCCCAGCGCCACCACCCAGTGTCACCCCAGTGTCACCCCAATGTCACCTCAGTGCCACCTCGCTGCCACCCTGCCTTTAATGGTGTCCCCACAGTGCCACCACCCCAGCGCCACCACCCAGTGTCACCCCAGTGTCACCCCAATGTCACCTCAGTGCCACCTCGCTGCCACCCTGCCTTTAATGGTGTCCCCACAGCGCCACCACCCCGTGTCACCACAGTGCCACCCCAGTGCCACCTCATTGCCACCTGCCTTTAATGGTGTCCCCACAGTGCCACCACCCCAGTGCCACCACCCAGTGTCACCCTCAGTGTCACCCCAGTGCCACCAGCAGCGTCCCCACAGTGCCACCAGCAGTGTCCCCACAGTGCCACCACCCCAGAGCCACCATCCAGTGCCACCCCAGTGCCACCCCAGTGCCACCTCGTTGCCACCTTGCCTTTAATGGTGTCCCCACAGTGTCACCATCACTGCCACCCCAGTGTCACCACTGCTGCCACCCCAGTGTCACCACCCAGTGTCACCCCAATGTCACCAGTGTCCCCCAGTGTCATCCCAGTGCCACCATCAGTGTCACACTAATGTCACCACAGTGCCACCTCCTCATTGCCACCCTGCCTTTAATGGTGTCCCCGTGGTGCCACCACCCCAGTGCCACCACCCGGTGTCACAATCAGTGCCACCCCAGTGCCACCAGCAGTGTCACCCTCAGTGTCACCACCCCAGTGCCACAATCAGTGTCACACTAATGTCACCCCAGTGCCACCTCCTCATTGCCACCTTGCCTTTAATGGTGTCCCCATGGTGCCACCACCCCAGTGCCACCCCAGTGTCACCCTCAGTGTCACCCTCAGTGTCACCCCAGTGCCACCCCAGTGTCACCCTCAGTGTCACCCTCAGTGTCACCCCAGTGCCACCCCAGTGTCACACCAGTGCCACCAGAAGTGTCCCCACAGTGCCACCACCCCAGTGCCACAATCAGTGTCACACTAATGTCACCCCAGTGCCACCTCATTGTCACCCTGCCTTTAATGGTGTCCCCCAGTGCCACCACCCCAGTGCCACCACCCAGTGTCACAATCAGTGTCACCCCAGTGCCACCCCAGTGCCACCTCGCTGCCACCTTGCCTTTAATGGTGTCCCCATGGTGTCACCACCCCAGTGTCACCAGCAGTGCCACCCCACTGTCCCCACAGTGTCACCACCCCAGTGCCACCACCCAGTGTCACCCCAGTGCCACCACAGTGCCACCACCTCGTTGCCACCTTGCCTTTAATGGTGTCTGACAGTGTCACCACGCAGTGTCACCATCAGTGTCACCCGAAAGCCACACCAGTGTCACCTCGTTGACATATTGCCTTTAATGGTGTCCCCACAGTGTCACCACCCCAGTGCCATCACCCAGTGTCACCCCAGTGCCACCCCAGTGTCACCCAATGTCACCCAGTGTCCCCACAGTGCCACCACCCCAGTGCCACCCCAGTGCCACCACCCAGTGTCACTCCAAAGCCACCACAGTGCCACCTCCTGAGTGCCACTTTGCCTTTAATGGTGTCTGACAGTGTCACCATGCAGTGTCCCCATGGTGTCACCCCAGTGTCACTCAGTGTCCCCCAGCGCCACCACCCCGGTGTCCCCCAGCGCCACCCGCTGCTCCCGCAGTGTCCCCAGCAGCGCCACGCTGGCCGCCGCCCTCACCCAGGGGACAGCCCAGGGTGCCACCGCCGTGTCCCCAAGTGCCACCAGCGCCGCCGCCACCGCCCCGGTGACGCTGGCGGTGAGCGCGGCCAGCGCCAGCAGCGAGCCGGCCGTCAGCGCGGTGACAAAGTGACCCGCGGCGACAAAGTGGCCCGCGGCGACGAAGCGCGGCCAGCCCGCGGCCAGCGCGGCCACCGCCGTGCCCGCCGCCAGCGCGACAGCGGCGGTGGCACTGTCACCGCTCAGGCGGTGGCACCCGAAGGCCACCAAGGGCTGGGACAGCACCGAGCAGAGCCACGAGCGCGGAGGGGACAGCGAGGGGACAGCGTGGGGACAGCCAGGGGACAGCGAGGGGACGTCGTGGGGACAGCCGGGGGACAGCACGGGGACACTGAGGGGACAGTGAGGGGACAGCGCGTCCGCCGCCGCCACCAGCGCCTGCAGCAGGAACCCGGCGGCCGGGCCCGGTGTCACCTGAGGGGACAGAGAGGGACAGTGAGGGACAGGGATGGCACAGGGAGGGACAGTGAGGGACATTGAGGGGACATTGTGGGGACAGGGATGGCGGCCGGGCCCGGTGTCACCTGAGGGGACACAGAGGGGACAGTGAGGGGACATTGTGGGGACATTGTGGGGACAGGGATGGCCGGGCCGGGTGTCACCTGAGGGGACACAGAGGGGACAGTGAGGGACAGTGAGGGGACATTGTGGGGACAGTGAGGGGATGTCATGGGGACATTGAGGGGACATTGAGGGGACAGGGGCGGCCGGGCCAGCTGTCACCTGAGGGGACAGAGAGGGGACATTGTGGGGACAGGGTGGGGACATTGTGGGCACAGGGATGGGGACACCATGGGGACATCGAGGGGACATTGATCACCTGAGGGGACAGAGAGGGGACAGTGAGGGACAGGGATGGCACAGGGAGGGACAGTGAGGGACATTGAGGGGACATTGTGGGGACAGGGATGGCGGCCGGGCCCGGTGTCACCTGAGGGGACAGAGAGGGGACAGTGAGGGGACAGGGATGGCCAGGCCAGCTGTCACCTGAGGGGACATTGAGGGGACATTGTAGGGACATGGTGGGGACAGGGATGGGGACAGTGAGGGACAGTGAGGGGTTGTCATGGGGACATCACTGGGACATTGTGGGGACATTGAGGGGACATCAGGGGACAGGGATGGCGGCCGGGCCGGGTGTCACCTGAGGGGACATCGAGGGGACATTGAGGGACATGGTGGGGACAGGGTCAGGGCATGGCACAGGTGACACAGGTGACACAGGCTGGCACAGGTGACACGGGTGTCCCCCCCGTCCCTGCTGTCCCCCCTGTGTCCCCAAGGTGTCCCCAAGGTGTCCCCAAGGTGTCCCCAGTGTCCCCAATGTCCCCAGTGTCCCCAGGGTGTCCCCAATGTCCCCAGGGTGTCCCCAATGTCCCCAAGGTGTCCCCAGGGTGTCCCCGCGGTGTCCCCAATGCCCCCAATGTCCCCAATGTCCCCGTGGTGTCCCCAGTGTCCCCAGGGTGTCCCAAATGTCCCCAAGGTGTCCCCACGGTGTCCCCAGGGCGTCCCCAATGTCCATCCCCAATGTCCCCAATGTCCCCGTGGTGTCCCCGCGGTGTCCCCAGTGTCCCCGTGGTGTCCCCAATGTCCCCGTGGTGTCCCCGCGGTGTCCCCAGTGTCCCCGTGGTGTCCCCAATGTCCCCGTGGTGTCCCCGCGGTGTCCCCAGTGTCCCCGTGGTGTCCCCAATGTCCCCATGGTGTCCCCAATGTCCCCATAGTGTCCCCAATGTCCCCATGGTGGCCCCAGTGTCCCCACAGTC